AGATTGGGTCATTCCACGCAACCTAAACAAGTCTCAAATCGTACCAATCCCAAAACAGATTCCAGTTACATGTATGAATGACAATAGGCCTGTGGCTATGACGTCTAATCTAATGAAACCACTTGAACGAGTAGTACTCCAGTTTTTAAAAACATTTATTCCGAAGTGTTTTGACTCATATCAATTTGCCTATTGAAACAATCGTTCTGTTGAGGATGCAGTGAGTTTGACTCTCCACTGTGTACTTCAACCCTTGGACATTCGATCTCCCAATTATGCCAGAATACTGTTTGCAGATTTGAGTTCCGCTTTCAACACTATTTTACCATCCAAACTGATTTTTAAACTGAAACAGTTAGGTGCAAATTCCAACGTTTGTCAATGGATTGTCCAAGCCACTTGTTATTAATATTGGTGCACCGCAAGGATGTGTACTGTCACTGCAGCTTTATTCTCTATTCACGCATGACTGCATATCCTTCTTTAATGATTGTGTGGTCACTAAGTTTGCGGACGATACAACTGTTGCTGGGCATTTCTCACACGGTAACGAGGAAGCAAGTGAACATTTTAGTGAAATGGTGCTCCGATAATAAATTAGAACTAAATGTTGCCAAGACCAAAGAGATGGTTATTGATTTTGGGTCTGGGAATCATGAAGTTCTGCCGTTTTTTATCAATGGGACCGAAGTGGAGAGGACGCCGTCATTCAAATTTTTGGGTATTTTTATCTCAAACTCCTTGGGGTGGGCTGAACACGTTGATTACTGTGTAAAAAAGGCTCCGTAGCAATTGCATTCTCTCTGCAGTTTGAGAAAATTTTGTGTTAGCACTGATGTTCTCATTATGTTTTATCGTGCCGTCATTGAAAGTGTTCTGACACTCTCTATTACTGTTTGGTACGGAAGCACTACTGTTGATGAGAGAAGGAAAATAGCTCGTGTTGTAAATACACCATCACAGATCATTGGTATTGAAATGAACTCGGCTGAGGAGATTCATAAACAGTGAACATTGGCACATGCTCATTCCATTACTGCAGACGAGTCTCATCTGGCCAATGAGCTCTTTCAAATGATGAGGCGTAAATACAGATCAATTCAGGGATGCACAAA